ACTCTAGGCCGCCGTGTGTGACGCTGTTTCGTTGGGAAAGCAAAACTACTTTGCTTGGCTTTCCAAAAATGGACACGACTACAAATCAATGGTTAAGTTGTATTTACAACACTGTTCCAGAACAGTTTAACCCAAATATCCAGATGTGTGCAGCACATTTATATTTTATATATTTAAAGCGAGTTTTTTTGGGCAGTGTAGAGTAGGGCTTGTTGTTTGTCATTTCTCCGATCCCAAATGCAGACATGGTTTTATGTTTACGCGGCGAGATGCAACGCAGTGCGTTAAAAGACAGTATAAGTCATTATAATCCATAATTATGTCCCCACTGGATGCAACGAATGCCTCGTTTATAATGGGTTTTCATGTTTTTGAATCATCGCTCCGGCCTGACAGAGCATCACAGTATGGTGAGGGGCATAACATTTCCGTCACACACTTGAGGTATTCGGCCAATCACAACGCACTGGATAGCTGGCCAATCAGAGCACACCTCGCTTTTCAGACCGATGTGCTAATTAAAAATTGACGCGTTTCATAAAGGCGGGGCATAGAGGAGAAACAATAATGTACAGTATGTGGAAAATAATGTGTTTTTTTAACCTTAAACCGCATAAACACATTTCATTACACCAAATACACAAAATAATGTTCTTTTTAGCAACATCATATGACCCCTTTAATATGGACAAGGAAACAGAAGAATATTGTCACCTCATCCTGGAGAGACAGTAAAAGACAGAGAGAGTTTGTTTAAAAAACACCTATATGTACACAGCTGTTCAAAAGTTTGGGATCAGTAAGATTTTTAATGTGTTTTAAAGAAGCTCATCAAGGATGCATTTATTTGATCAAAAACACAGAAAAAAAATGTAATTTTATGAAATAAAAGTGTTCTATTTTAATACACTTTAAAATATAATTTATTCCTGTGAAGCAAAGCTGAATTTTCAGCAAGAAATCTCTTCTGTTCACCATGGCTGCATTTATTTGACCAAAAATACAGAAAAAACTGTAATATTGTTATTGCCATTTAAAATAATGGTTAATATATTTTAAAATATAATTTATTTCTGTGTTGCAAAGTTATTTTGCATCATCATTACTCCAGTCTTCAGTGTCATATGATCCTTCAGAAATCATTCTAATATGCTGATTTATTATCAATGTATTATATCAAATTTCTTTTGGAACCTGTGATACTTTTTTTCAGGATTATTTGATGAATTAAGTAAAATTTCTTACAATATAAGTATTTATTATAACTTTTTATCAATTTAACACATCCTTGTGAATAAAAGCATTAATTTCTTTCCAAAAAAAAAGAAAGAAAGAAAAAAAAAATTACTGACCCCAAACCTTTGAACGGTAATGTATATATGCATTTATGTACACACAGCATACACTTTGACTGATCGCATTTTGACCCTGTTTTATGTACTCTCTTTGAGTTACACTATCAGGATTTGCATCACCCTAAAAGAGACGACATGGTCAGAACACACATATACAGATGCTGCTCTTTATTTTATTCAGCTTGTAAACACACACACTGGAAGTGCATGCTCTCAAACTAATAATCTCTCATAGCATGGCATGCACTGTATCAGCATATTAAATAATTTTCTTAATGGGTTTAAGTGAATTTGTGCTCACCTGTTTTTCATTTTACACACTAGCACTAGTCCATCATTGGCTGTCTTATGGACATCTCTTCTTCCTAGAAAGTAAAACATTTCAGTCAAAAATGATTGAAACATCAAACCAGTCAAATGTCCAGACAAATCAGCAATATATCACAGTATGACTAGAAATGCCTCAAAAATTATGGCCATGCAGTTTCAACTATTTAAAGCATGAAGTTGAACATTATTATTATTATTGTTATTGTTATTATTTTACATTTCTCTTTCTAGAATTGACTAATTTCATATTAGTTTGAAGATAGGGGTGTATAAAATTTCTCAAACTAATGATTTTCACTTCAATATTATGCTGAATCATAACAAATGCAAGTGATGGTCAGCAAGTAATTTTAACTTTATCGTAAAATCTTAAAAAAACATTTGAGAGGTCTCATTCCAATGTGTATTGTGATGTTACCATCACATACTGTACACAAACTGTATTTGTGTGTTTGTGTACCTCTGAATTTCCAGTAGATAAATGGCAGTACAGACAGCAACAGAACAACCAGAAGCGCTAACAGCAGAATTAAGACCACCCCCCCAAAAAAATGCTCACTTGTACACCTTAAATATAGACAATTCAAGAAAACGGGCAAAAAGAGATTCATAAAGACATATAAAAAATATGAAATAAATTTTCAAGGAAAATAGGCTGTTACTTGCGTTGTTTTTTTTTTCTGAACTGTCTTCTGACTGTTCGACCGAAAATTGCCAGCCAATTGTATAAAACAATACCTGTTTTCTTAGAACTTCGACTTCTTCAAATGGTTGATATTTTTTCATGAATGAAATCAGTACTGAATATGTTTAAAGAAACAACTGCAACACATGTAGGGAAATTGCATGAACACTGAGTGTGATGTTGACGTGTTGTTGATATCTCCCTGGTCTTCTGTGGTCAAGTTTGATATCTGTAGAGAGAGGTTTCATTCAGCAGTTTGACTCGTCCAGTGTGTCTCTCGCTCTGTGCATGTAGGTATATTTCTTCCAAGTTTGTTTTGTTTAGTGGAGTAAATGTCCATGTTGTTCAGGTTTATCCTCTAGTTCAGTGTTTCCCAACCGGGGTGCCGTCTGTCGAGAGCAGGGGTGCCGTGTAAAAAATCCTTTTTTAATATTTTTAAATTGCTAAAATGTTCAAAAAAGCATCTATTATATAATATCCATTTCTGATGTCGCAAATAATTAGAGATGCACCGAAATTTCGGCTGCCGAACGCGACTAAAAAAAGGTTGGGAAACACTGCTCTAGTTCTACCGAGTGTCCCGTCACCTCAACTGCTTGTTCATTCTCATCCAGATCCAGACATTTACATTGGCATAGTATATATAATTGGGACAATATAGACACACATCCTGTTCCAGGCAGGTTTGTAACTTCTTTATTTGATTGGAACTTCTTAATTATTGCCCTGATGGTGGAAATGGGTATTTTCAATGCTTTAGCCATTTTCTTACAGCCACTGTCTATTTTGTGAATATATTCTTTGGTTTTACTCCTTGTGATGGATGATTATGGGAATTTGGCCTTTGTGTTCCTTGTATTTATAATCCCGTGGAACAGGAAGTCATGGCTGGACAATCTCATGCTCCTAGTCACCCTGGTTTGCTGAAAAATGTAAATATGAATGGGAGGGAATATACTTCTAGGATATCTAGGGGTGCCAATAATTGTGGCCAACATGGATTGGAGAAAAACATTTATTTCATAATGTGAGTTTCAATTGCTTTCAGTTGCTTTACTTCAATAAAAGGTAAGAATTTTGTGAAATGTTTGAATAAAAGATCAAAAAGATAAATGATTTATTTTCAGATTAAGATTTATTTTCACAGCCGCCTTTGCTCATATTTACCAAGGGTGCCAATATTAGTGGAGGACACACAC